ACCTTTTATGAAAATTAGGCTTTGATCACATATTGGCCAAACAGACTTAAGAAACTTTCAAATAAATAGAAATACCATTATGATATACTACTCAAAATATATATTTCAAGAGTGTGTTGTGACGTTTTGTGTAACCAAATTGAATTTTGTCATTTCAACATAATTGCTGATTTAAAGTGAACATATTCTAATTCCTTTTTGCCATTCTAAAATAACGTTCACTGATAAAATATAACACATTCACAAATGTTTTTGTTGTACAAAATTATAAAAACTTCAAAAAATGTAAATTTATTCTGGACCGAAATTGTTAGGCATTAAATAAACAATTAATCAACAATCAAAAGGGAAAGAACAAGCCGAGTAACAAATACATGGAGTATGATTATCTTAAAATATATTCGATATTTTTGTATTATATTATGTAATTATTGTTTTCCTTTATAACAATGTATCTTTGAACGTAACGGCAGAAGATTTTAATGACTATGTAAAATAAAATATATTCAAATATTAAAACCAGCATTCAATATATAAACACTGCAATATAAAACAGTCGTAAAAACTTATGTTAAAAGCAATAAACATTTAAATTTATGCACTTTTATTATTTATGTATATTTTGACACATTTTGTTGTCCGTGTAATATTTAATAGGCCATCGTAATGATATGTTCATTTATAAAATTGAAACATGTATCACTACAGAAAGTATTTGATAAATTATATAATACGTTTAAGACCCGAAACACATGGTTTCTGCTCTATCAGTATATCAGTATATTAACCTAGTATTTATATACATGCTTTACTTACATAACGCTTTACATTTGTTATGTATGAAAATGTAGTTTAGTTGTTATTTTGACAATACATCTAAATCACGACAGTTATAGCGGTTAAATATGCAAATTGTATCATCCGTCAATCCAGTATTGTGTTTAGTAAAATAAATTAATTGAAACGATCATGATTCATTAAAATATGTATAAAGTTTAATATCATGATGAAAGTTCACTATCATTATATAGTCATTTTTATCTTTCGCGATGCAAAACGAATGCAACGAATTAATCCTTGGACAATAAGAAGCATACATCTAGAGTATAATCTTAAAAAAGCAGACCTCCAGATTCATGCATTGTTTTTCATCAAAAGTTCGAAAATGTATTGAAAAGGAAAATAGTGTATAGTTAACAAGTAGTAGTAAAGTAGTCTTCACATTGCAATCGGCAATTCCAAGCAAATTACCAAAACCGTTAACAGCATTGCAAAATTTGCCCTTACTGTGTTAGTCGCGCAGTAGAAATATGGTGATAAATACTGCAAAATCAGTCTTTTATAGCACGTAAGATGTTTATTATTACATGAATCTGGATTTCTACCTTTCTTAAATCTTAGTAAATTTTTAATTGTGATTTTCTTGATTTTGTTTTAGCTCATTTGGATGTTTGCCTCTTTAATTTTAAGGGTATATATCGATGCCTTGGTGCGAAAGGGTGGTAACTCAATATTTTGAAATTATTCAGGAGAGACAAAAAACTTATTTATTCTTTTATGTTCTAATAAAATACTTCTTTAATTTTGATTTTTGGCTTTCATTCATTTACTGATAAATAATTGATTGGAAAGGTTATTTTATTTTGTCAGCATAAAGAGATAATTGATAAAGTTTTAGTTACAACCCTTTCGCACCAAAAAAATAAAAAAAATCAAAAAATGATTTGGTGCGAAAGGGTTGTAACTAAATTTTTGCTTTAAATTCTGATAAATGTAATGGGTCAAATGAACAGATCCAAGCTTAGTTGTGTTTACTATGAACTAATTTAACATATGGCCTGGATATTTCAGTGAAAAACCTTCAAATTTTATGTTTTTAAAATAAAATTTCAGTCAAATGATTTTTTTTAAAAGAAATTCACTTTATATATAATATTTTTTTCCATGTGACACACAGTTCAGATTGTTAAACCCATCATAAGTACCAAATATGTTTGTTTTTGCAAGAATCAAAGTTCAAAATGTAAACTTACATAATGACAAAACCATCTAAGATGTTAATATAAGCCTTTAGAAAATGAGAACACTCTCATTTTATTTTACATCTATTCTATACATAGGTTTTTCTTAATTTGAAAACTTAGATAATTTCCAGGATGTGCTTTTGTGTACAAATTATATTATTTAAGCATTATCCAGGAACTCTTTACTATTAAACCAAAAGTATGAGAAAGATGATAATAGATGTTCTAAGCTTCTAAGCTCATGCTATTCTTACAACTCTTTACAGTCCCAAATTTCATTGTTTATTTTGATATAAATCAGTCAGTAATTAAATGAGAAAAAAATAAGGCCTGCAAATAATAAAAATTACAAAATGCAATCCTTCCACCCCAATAAAATTCACAGGTGTGCACACAAACGCACATACAGCTGAGGAAGAGATTAACATCTTTAAGAATGATTTTAAATAGCAGATAGAATATATCTGATAATTTACTTTTATCTAACAGAAAACAAAGGGTCAATAACATATTTTACTTAATATTCGAACACTACCCGCATTTTTTCCCTATTGAGCATAGAAGATCGAAAGTGTGTGTTATTATGCAATAAAATCACTGTTTGACATTCTATATTAAGACAAATGACGTAATCATTATACACGCAAAGTAACCACTAAAAATGTGACGCGCTGAAAATGAGTAAGGAAACAAATCAGGCGCAATTTAGCTATATATAAGGTACAGCATTAAAATTTTATTTGTTGATGTCGTGTTAGAATTAAAATAATATATCCAAATTGGTGATTTTATCACTTAATAAAATCACTGTTTGTTGATTGAATGTGCATCATTATATCACTCGGGCTACTCCCTCGTAATTCCACACATCCGACCTCCAAACAGTGATTTTATTGAGCGATAAAATCACAGTTTGGAATATATTATCTTAATTATCTACACATAAACACCTTTTATTTAAGAAAAAATATATCCCAAACTGTGATTTTATTGCTCAATAACATCACTGTTTGGAGTTCGGACGCGGATAATTATATATAATGATCAGCATCCGAATGACAAGCAATAAAATCACCGATTTGGATATATTATTTCGATTCTACCACGACATCAACAAACAGATGCTGCCGTACATGGTAATTAGCTAAATTGCGCCTGATTTGTTTCCGTACTTATTGTCAGCGCGTCACATCTTTAGTGGTTATGTCAAGTGTATAATGATTACGTCACATGTCTACATATAGAACGTCAAACAGTGATTTTATTGCATAATAACACACACTTTCGGTTTTTCTATGTTCAATAGGGAAAAATGTGGGTCGTGTTTGAATATATTGTAACACTTTTGTTTATACATATGTATATGTATCTAAACTTACTGTTTACAATGTGTTGTCAAAGAAAAATTTGTTCACATATCTAGTCAGACATTGTCTTGTAACGTAAATAAATTGTCGTACAATATAAATTTATACAATTTGTCTTTGACAAAACATGAAAATATTCCAATAGTAATACATGTAAGTTATAAAAGTAATTCATGTAAGTTTAAAACAAAATAAAGAATTGAGTGATAATTTATAATTTCTTTAAGTTATTTTAATATTTAGTAATTAAAAAAGCATCGAAACACGAGGCTGTCGGATTTGTTTGAGAGTATAAATCAGATTGCCTATTGTTTTGATGTTCTTTCTCTTTTGTATCTTAGGCAAAAAAAAACACATTCCCAGTCATCCAAGAAAAAAGTACCAAATGTATAAGCATCTGAATATGACTTTTCTTATTGTTATCTCCTTCCCTGTCGTCACAATATGTAAAAACCAGAAAAAATGAACCAGTTAACAAGCAAGCTCCAGACTGACAGTGAGTTAAAGCAATGTGCATGTATTGGTATGCAATTTAACTCTGACTTGTTTTCAAAAGTCTCCAAACTATGATACAATCATAATATAATGTATGACAATAATTATTTATAATAAATTTATTTTGAGTTACGGTAATTTCATTTTCGTAAAACCAAAATAAGTCAATTACTGTTACTTGCTATTTTGCAAACAATGCAACATTATACCAATGACAATTTTTATGTTGAAAAAAAATCACTATAATAGTACTGTTAGTAATGTACTATGATATTGTTTCTTTAACAAGCATTGGAATTGATTTATGTTTGAAAATATGTGTAAGTTATTCAAATTCTTGTATTATGTCTGAATGAAAGCTTACCAATTTATAATATAAATAACCAAAGGAATCAGAAGCTGAGACTGTTTAATAAAACTTGTCAGTTAGTTTGAAAGAAATAATCCACTAAATATTTCACATTATATGATATAAGATATTGAGATACAACTGTTTTGCACTAGGATTTATTCAAAATATTATCAAAAATGTTGGTGCGTAACGGTTGTTACTTAAGTTTTTTACAACCGTTTCGCCACCAACAAAATATGTCTGTTTGAGTTACAAACCTTTGGACCATATATACTTTTTTGGTAGTTTAATTTTAGCTTTCAAGTTCAATATTTTTACAACATGTGATATTGCTCCTACATTGAAAAATACCATAAAACCATTTTCGGTGAAATTATGAGTTACAACCCTTTCGCACCAAGGCATCGATATGTATAAATAGTTACTGCAAACAAGTCTTATAAAGCTGATTGTTTTAGAAAATAATTATAATAATTAATGTTATCTTAATAACTAAAGTAGACAGTATGAAAAGTATCAAAGCAGCGAATATATTTATCCAAAAATAGGCTCGAAAGCTCATATAATATAAGAATGAATTAATGAATTAAAGCACAGTTGTTAATTATTGCACGGTTACACTAAAAATAAATAAATAATCATGAATAATAATAACTTCTAATAATACACAGCATTTTTAAGTACTAGATTACCCTAACTATATCATTTTGATTGTGAACAGTAAAGCCTCGTGAATAATATTTTCAGTCGACAGTATTTACTATAATTGTAAATTATATGTTCTTCATGATTTCCTGACTACAATTGTAGGATTTACTTCAATTTTATAGGCTAAATCATTTTAAGCCATGACATATATAATGACCTAACTTAGAAGAACTATTAATCATACATCTCGTGAAAATAATCCTACAGGTATTTAAATGTTACAAGTGTTTTTTTCAATGTAAAGTGAATGGTCAACTGGTCTTATTAAAGTAGATTTGTCTAGGTCATAACGACTCTGAATGAAAAGAAGACTCACCACGGTTATAAGGATTATTCTCGGGTAAATCGCTAAAAAAGATAATTACCTTGTTAGGAGATACTGTATCAAAGGTTATCTATTCATCCGGTCAAAAAAACAGCGTGAATCCAAGGGGAAACGTTTAGATTAGTAGTCTATAAATTGAAGTATTCAGAGTGAAGGTGGGTTCATAAATCTTTTGGATATTTTAATAATCAACATCGGTAGTGCATGCTTTCGTAATATTGCAGACGACAATTCTTGTTGAAACTGAGTAAAGGAATAATGTTATCCTTGTGTGTGTATTCTAGATATAATTCAAAGAGAGGAAATAAATGAATCAATCTTGTGTGTTGTGAACAGAAAACTAATCATATTTTGGTGAGATATTTTCATGAAATTTTGACCTTGAAAAAACATTTAACGCAGATATGCTGTAATGAAGATGGTACAAGAAATAAGTTTAACTAACGATTTGGATAATTTATAATGAATTATGTTAGAAAAACTTTAAGTCAAAGAGTGTTTCATATTATCAATTTTGGAGAAATTGTTTAGATAATATCGTTTGGAATAATATCACACAAAGGAATATACTATTTGATAGAGTTCGACGTTACAAAATTTGAAACAAAACAACAATTTATTTAAAGATACACAAAATGGTGTCGATGGCGGTATGTCTGTTTGAAACTGTGGCAACAATAGAAACAATGTTTCAGGTGACTCAACAATATGCTTTATTATTGGATAAAACTGTGATAAATACAACCCCTGTAAATGACAAAACTGGGACAGACAAAAAGAATACAAGCGGAGGAATGCACCGAGCGTAAGTATAGAATTTTTATATGATGTGAAAATTATCTTATCTTCTACAAACTGTTTTAAACAAATATGAATTTATTTATTTTATATGCATTGAATCATGTTTTTTACATGCTGCATATATATATAAAAAGATAATTATATTTCCGCATAATGAGAACTAAGCAGAATGATACAGTTTAACTTCGCAAACCTTTTGAGTAAAACATAACAAAAACAAAATGAAAGAAAAAAAAAGAAACAACAACAAAAAAAACAACAGAATATGAACACTGCCTGTACACCAAAGGACAGATTTTCGTCGTTAATAATGATTTTTTAAAAACTACTCGAAATGTTGCTTAATACAGCATCAATTGATGTCATCATGTACTTAACAAGTCATTGTTATCCTTTCAGACCCATTCATCACTATGCAAGACATGGTTTGTGCCGAACTTTCAATGGGAAGAAAAAACTGTACAAAGCTTTAAAGTTTAAATTTTGTCGCACAAAAAGTACGTTTTTATGATTGCAGTTTAAAAACCGTTTTTACAACAATATTTCTATTAAGCGCTTACTTTACCGATGCAACAAACATAACTGTGTCATTGCCAAATTATAATTATTCAATTTCACAAAAAAAATCAGATATCCAGGTCTGGAACCTAAATTACAGTTGAAAGTAAATATCTTGAGGATGTTTTTGAACAAGATCAGCAATATTAATAACAATTCACAAACTTTGTATTTCATGGCATACTTACCTTAAATAGTTTCAAAGGTTTTGAAAGGTTTTGCATTTACAGATATCTTGATGACAAAGCTATTTCTTCCAGCTTCCCTTTTTATTAAAATTAAATATTCATACGCGGCCTTGTTTGTTAAGTAATACAAAAGTCAATTAATTCAATTAATTCCTTTACCTTTTTCAATTCAGTATCATACACGGCAAGTTTCGTGATTGAATTATGTAGACGCCGAGATGGAATGCTTGACGAATTAGTCAGAGAATTATTCGACGTAGATGGTAATATCATTTTTCAGATTTGTTTCTTGTTTCGTAGTTAATTATGTTGTTTACTTTCGTAAAATAATTCATGGTTTTTTTTAATATTCGACTTAATTAAATTCTGATCCGGTCCTGCAACATAACTGACTGATAAAATAATATTTCAACTGTATCTGTCTTATTGGTTATGCCTTCTTTCATTTACATAATATTTTATAATACTGCACGTTTGTAACGTCGCTTTTTATTGGATTATCATGACGTTTATATAGTTTTGGATACACGGCTGCTGTCGATACATAAAAAAATCTTACTTTTTTCTCTAAAAAATAATGCTTGCTGTATTATAAATTCGTTATAAAGATTGTTGACAGGTTATATAGCCCTATATAAACGGCTGTTTGCCTAACGTCTCGGGTTATTTTCACAAATAGCCGTTTATATAAGGCCATATAACCTGTCAACGATCTTTATAACTAATAAAATAAACTAAAATGTAATGTGTTGAAATGATATACACAACTGTGATAAATCATACGATATTTTGGAACTTACTTATTGGCATGAATCGAATGAATTGTAGCATGAAGAAGACCAAGCGAGATATTATCCGAACAATTTTTAAAACTTATATCAAGGAATTTTGCTGAAGAAATAAATCTTTGTACCGTTTGGCGACTGAAATCACTAACTTGTACTCATTTGTAATTTAATTTCGTATATCTTTTCAGGGGATGGCTACGTCACCCATTATGAAAAACAATTATATGATGCTGTTAAATGACGGGGTCAAAGTTGACACGAGAAAATGACTGATAAGACTGCTTAATATCTAACATGAATAATCAAGTGGATAAACAAGTTTGATTCATCGTTTCATTTTGTTATATTCCCATGCTGAACATTTATCACAATAAATCAGAATTATACTTATGTACTATGTCGGATGGTGAATCTTAAACATTTAGTTAAAACACTGGAAAAAGAAATATTAATATAAATCAAAATAATGACGTACAATGATTTTATACTGTACATGTATGCTATGTTTTTCGTTAATCTTCAAAATCGAATATCATATAACATTAAGATGTCTATTGATCAACATGAAAAAAATTGATAAAACAGCTGGCTAGGATGCATCAAATAAATGATAATCTCACATTTAAAGTTAAATGGTTTTTTTCTATTACTTATCTAAGTTTACAAATTCTGTTCTAATGGTATTCATTAGTATGAAATCAATTAAATAACAAGAAACAAACCTTTTTAATTTAAATGTATTTGTTAAAGTTTAATTTGCATTTGTCTGTTTTCATGGATTTTAAGTTAAGACACAGTTATGATTGTAAATGTAACATGCGACTTTCCAGTTCCCTGGTAAAAGGAAGCAACAGGTGCCACTTCGTATATGATTTCATACACGAGCTAATTGAAAGGTAATGTGTTGTAACAAAATGACATTTCAAAATTACAAATGCATTCATAAAATTATACGTTCAACTAAATTTGTTATACTAAATTTAAAAGTCCGTAAGTTAAGTACAAACTTTAAATTGATAAGTTGTACACTTGAATGTCAGCGAAATGCAAAAAAAGAAAGAAATATTTATTATATTAAGTAAATCAAGAATCGTTTAGAACCTGAATTAATGAAATACATAAGTCCCCAGAAAACAATCAAAAATGATAAAATTGCTAGAGTTTGATATTAGCCTGAACATTCTATTTCATTAAATATCTTTAATAATATATCAACAAATTGCTCCTCTTCATTTGATGAGGGCGAGAAACGGTAATTATTGCCAAGAAAATTGTCATCAGCCTAAAATCCGCAATACAATATCTTACACATAGCTTGAACTTCCGAAGCTGCGAAAGAGATAGAATCGTACAAGATATATTTATGCTATTAACATATGACTGTATTTTTTGTGGAATACTGTGGAATATGAACTATTTGAAGGAGTTCTCTTTAGCGGTCCATGTATCCTCACCTCATTATTTGATCAAATCAGATGATGATAGACGCTTATATTCAGGGAGTAATTTACACAATAACCGTTTGTTCTAAGATTCTGCAGAAAAAAGAACATGATGTACTCTTAAGTACACTTGAGTTCATATAATGTCAAACCAACTTAACCTTTGCATAAACATTTTGAAATCAAAAGTGTAAATCAGTAAATTAACAGCATATGGAATTTGTTTTCAAGATATAAATGCTTGATAATTTGTCTATTTATTGAAATGCAAAAGAGCCAAGGACAATGAGCATAAATGTTATTACTGAAATATGAGTGCAATGGTATTTTTATTAGACATTTTGATATAGGAGGGAGGGAGGTACAGATATCCAACATAAAAAATTCTTTTATTTCATATCAGTGCTGTGTCAGTATTGATTAAACAACGACGTAAGATACTCCATTAAAATGTCCATTTTGATGAAAATCTTAACATTCTTTGTTAATTAACAAAAACATAAAATGGAAGATCATTTTTAGAAAACAGTTTTAATAGTATCAACCATTGATACATACAGGGATTTTTTCAGTGACAGGAAGATGTACATTAGGTCTAGTTAAATTATTGTTTGTAAGACTATCCTGACAGGTTCTACGTTGTGAAGTGATTTTAAAAAATGCTTTCAGTGAAACAAGCATGCAATCATACACAATATGATAAGAACAATTTGAAGAGAAAAAAATGATACATTCTACAAAACTATACAGCAATTTTACTTGAAAATAATTTACACCATTTAAATTAGTTGCAATTTAGCATAAGTATGATTAATTATAGTACTGTAAGTTTGTTTAATCATGTTTTGTTGGACTTGTTTAAATCTTGATTTCTTTCTTTAAAAAATGATATATGTTTAAATCTCATCACACAAATCTGATCATACAAAACATTCCAACAATCTAATAACAAAGTTATAATTCAACAGGTATGATACGACTTCCGGTTCACCACATCACAATGTAGAATACACAAGTTGCTTTTTGTGTACAGTCATTAGTGTTGTTAGAAAGTAAAAAGACAAATTCAGTTTATTTTTAAGGCTTAACAGTAAGTCTGAACACTTTACTTTACTTTCACAGATGCACCAACATCTCGACATTAAGTGAAATCTTCTGAAACCAGTCGTCAATAAAAACATTGAATGAAAATACATGAAAACAACAACACCAACAACAACAAAAATACAGAACAATGCCAATAGTTATCCTGCAAGCATGTTATCATGTAAGCAGTTTGCGATTTTCATAATAATAAAATAAACATAAGTGCTGCATTTTGCGTTAAACCAAGCCTGCAACGTTTTGTTTTCATGTGTTTACTGACCTGCAGGATTTCCATAATTTCTTCTTTTAATTTTTCAAATTTAACATTGACATTGTAGATAACATTCAGGCTTTCAATTGAGAAAATAAAAATTAGAAAATGTGAGCATCTCACATGACAATATACAAAATGTCCGAGTCATTCTTTTGTTAGTAAATCATCCTTATAAAAGTCACTGCCTTTACTCATTTGCTAATATTACGTAACAGATAAATTAAATCCATCAATATTCGCAAAGATATAATTGGCCAAAATCTAGAACATTCAAAGCAGCAAACACGTGCCTTAGAAAGTATACAATCAATATTTCCTTAAAATAAGATAAATAAGATATTTTTTTAATTAGAACAAAACATTATGTTTATTTAATTGTTTCTTTGAAATTTGTACTTTCGCTTAGTAAATTAAATTAATTGTAACCCATTTATTTTCCGTTTACATAGTATACAATTAAAACTCTGAACAACGTTAAATAATGTTTAGAAGTTTTTAAAGTGTACGTCTTTTAAACGTTGGGAAATTTTATATTTGGTGTTTTATGTATAGACAAACGATGCTATTTAAATGTAAATCTGAGATGCTAATACATATTTTTGTAGATGGGACATGTCATATCACATTTCTTATACCATTTAACAATTCAAACACTTATTCTTTAAAATCATTTCATCTTTTTATGTTATAAAACAACTAATTAAGTAATAATCTGAAAATGTTCGACAAAACACGAAAATATTAATCATATACAGTAGTTTTTGCCAATTTGGATTGTATTTAATCAGTGTGCACACAAAATTCTGCCACTTAATAATTAACAATATAATTGTAGAATAAACTTAACCTCAATCAGAATGAACTTATAACAACGAAGATTATTGTAAAATGCAGTCACATTGCCAGCAGACTCGTTAACTTGTTGAAGAAATGCAGGTACTGTATCATGCATTTCTTCATCTAATTGCATTTCGTAAATATTTATCAACTTGTTTTTACGCGGAAATTTTTCAGACATTTGCAGTAATGTGTTTCTTTCAAATTGGAATATACTGGCTTCTTAGAGAAGCATCTAATCCGTTTATTTAATAAAGACATAGTTTGCCTCAGAGTAACTTGGATTTACATTATTGCTGGTGCTTTATGGTTAAAATATTTGATAAAAGAAAAATGTAAAATTGTGAGTAATGAAAAAATAGAAAATTTGTGGCTTATTAAAATTTAGATAATTAATTTTAACTGGATTGGTTTTGATATTGAATTATAAAATGGTTTCAGTTGCTTTATGTATTATTGATTCTGTTAGTGTAATTGAATCCATTGTTAGATTAGCTCATATGTACGCATTACTTTCGGAAAGTTCTCCAGACAATGTGACTAAGATTCCTACAACAACAGGACCGCTGATTGGAGAGAGCAAAGATAAAATGTAAGTATTATAACAATGCTTGACATTATAGTTTGGCATGCTTTAGCTGTTTTTGATTTAAGTTGTCTGTCGGTTAATTCAGTATATATGTGTGATGATTAAAATTTTCATTGCTATCGTTAAGCAAATAACAGATAAACGAACATGTTTTGTAGTTATTTACCTAATAACATATAAAATTTAAGAAACTTTTGTCCGAACATTTGATGAATGGATTATTAAATATTAATATTATATTCGAACTGGTAACTAAAACTCATAGCTTTAAGTGTATCATAAATGTGTGATTGGGTGTTTCCCTTGCAAATATGTAATAAAACTACGAACAGTTTTTGAAGAATATTTAAGAGATTCAAACAATTTTGTATTTTTTATCTGTGCTCGATTAAAATTTCCAAAATAACTTTTTGTTAAAATAAATGTTATAATCAAGATTTTTTTTTATTTTAGAACTGTTAGACATTATGCAAAACACGAGTTATGCAAAAACTTCGACGGTAAAAAGTATTTCTACAAAGCAATTAAAACCACGTTTTGTTCTTTGACATGTAAGTTTATATAAATAATTAAAGCGCATATAAATCACTCAGTGATATACCATTATTTTTGTTCTAATGTGCAAGCTTCGAGATTACGAATTCAAAGTATTTTATGTCTCATTAGCATAGGTTTTTTTGGCACTAGATTGCGTTTATATAACACTGAACAAAAGTTCTAACCGATCTCCCTGAGATTTCGCTTATATATGAAAAAGAATAATACCAATAGATCCGACTTTTATTTTATTTCGAAGAGAATGAACACATTGAGAATAATAAAATTATAACATTTTTCTATTATATACTTTATCGATATTTAAAAAAAAAAAAATTATGAACAGCCACTCACTTGTCTGAAAGAGGCTCCAGCATTCAACATTCCAACTGCTACGGCACGACCCTGCATCGACATTCGTGTCATGTTTTATGTTTTTTCACTTATAAAGTTAACAAGGATTCATGCAATGTAAAATTTAATACTCACCACGCTCTGCACGAACATTTCGTGCCAAAATGTGTAAACCGCGACCTATCTCCCGCGTGAGTGCATGGAACCGTATTAGATTATTTATCTTTCCACAAATCGGTAGAAAATGACACAAAAATCACCTCTGCAAAATTTTATAAGGATCTATTGACCGGTTATAAAATAATCAAAATTTAATAAGTGATCGGTTAGAACTTTTGTTAAGTGTAGAGTCACGTTTTTATCGTAACTCTTAAGAACCATCTTGAGAGTATATAATTTGTAAATAATTTAAAATAAACAGATATGTTTGTAAACGACAACATATGTTTAAAATATCTAATTCCCATTTACCTTCTTAGTTTCATATAGGGAAAACATAATCTAGAAAGTTTCTTTTTTTCAGCAACATTTACAGCAAAACATGTATTTGATTTATGTAGGAATCACGACTATATGCTCGTTAAATGGGTATCAGCACTTTTCGATTTTGATGGTAAGTTATTTCACATTTTTGTATAGATTTATGTTTTTTCTACGTTAGGTTGAGACCATTGTCTGCATTCAATCAGCAAGACGATATACATGGATTTCAACTATACACACATATTCATCATGTCAATTTTTGTAAACTAATTGGGATTTGTTTTCAATCGATTGAATGATATTAACCTTAAATTTAGAAAATAACTACCTAGAAAAATGACAGTTCTTTATCTTCTATTCCGATAGGAATCTCAAATGTACGTTTACCTGTGATTATTTTGTGGTTTATAAAATGTTTATAATATTTAGTCTTAAGTTTGTAAAATACACCATGTTGCCTTCTGTTATAATGTAAAACAAACTTTAACTACATATTTTATAAAACATTACTGATAATACTGTTTTTATTTTGTGTAAGTAAATATTTATATTCTGTGCTTTTAACATAAACCTTTTGATAAACCATTTTAAGCAAGTCGTTGTTGTATTATTTCAGGTGATGGATATATAACGCATTTAGAAAGAACATACTATGAATGACAACAACAAGTTAGTCAAAATGCATAATATCATGTATTGTGTAATTTCCTTGTATCCAAGTTTGGAACGTTAACCTGTGAATTAAATTATAGTTTGAATATCCAGAAAGAATTTTATCATTTTTGTACTTGTTTTGAGCTCACAGTATGACGTGAAGAAAGTATCTACCGAGAAAATAATGATGAATCAGCATAATAAGTGTCGTTTCAATTCTAATTATTTACCGCTTCTGTAACTCTTAAACTTTAGTTACCTTTCAAATCTCTTAGAATTTGATCAGATTCCACAGGGTGTGGCACTGAATCACTAATAACCAAATAGCCAAATTGAATTTGACTTTTTATGAATTAAATCGATTTACTAACTCTTATGATCGAGATAATTCAACTTTATATTGCAACATTTTTTCTTTGGTACTTTATTTTAGATTTTAATTCAGTATTAAACATATTTTTCTGTGATATTTATATACGTTTTCTTTGTGATGAGTTAACAAATAGAGTTCAAAAAGCGTAATTATAATGTATAATTTGCTCTAATGCTCATACATGTAGTAGGATGCAAATATTTAGAAGGTTTTATATAATGTCAGATGAATTTCTTTTTATTTTTTATGCCAATCTATTTTATAACAACAAAAACAAAGCAATGGAAATATCATCCTATTCATTTTGGAGGGTGTAAACGTTGGTATAAATGGGCTTGTCTTGGTATGTAAATACTCATGAATTAGATATTTTTGTTTGCTTTACGCCATGTTGATAATGTATGTATTACTTGTCTATATTTAGATATTAATAAAGTGGGTTCCCAAAATATCAAAGACGTTATTGTCAGTGACCGCCATTTATTTCAGTTGAATATAACTTGGGCATTCTAAAGATCACGTATTGTTTTGTTTTCATAACTTTATTTTTCTTTACACGGTTATACTATTTTAATTTTCCGGTAATAAATAACTTATAAATCATGTCTTTAAATTTAAGGAAAATATTAAATTCATTTTGTTCATGCTTTTTTTATTTCGAAATACTGATAAGATTTAACATCAGATTTTATACAGTAAAATTGCAATCATTGATATCTGCTCACATTTTCCGAATATTGTTTTTATTCCCGCGTGATACAATATAGTTTGTCCCTCAATACTAAATTGTAATTTTACACTTAGAATTGTTAAGTTAAAAGTTTTATACACAAAAAGTCATAATACTTTAACTGATGTGTTCTCTTCTTAAAGATCCTATATAGTGTAATTGAGGTTGTTACCACACTTAAGTGAAATTTTATATATAGAGGATATTTGTTTGCTTGTAAGATGAAATTTTATTTCATCGAGTGAGCTTTAAAACGGTATTTTTTAAGTTGTATGCTAAGAAAAGGTTTTATGTTTAAAAATTATAATTAAAACGAAATTTCCTTGATATTTATCTTAATATTAAAATCTGTTTTCCCCATTGCTAGACTCTATTATTCGAATTTCTCATGAAATACAAAAAGTTTGGGGCTGAAAAATAAGTTCGACAATCAACGTTAAATGGCGATAATATTATTCATTTTATTCAAATAATATGAATGATCGCTTGTTTTAATAATAAACAATTCTAGTAGGAGAAAACGTCAACCCATCCATCCATATTTCTGTTACTTACGAGACTTGGCTCTGTGAAATGTAAGCGGCCGCCATTTTAAAAGTTGTGTATTTCATGGGAGGAAAATAATAACAGGATATTTTTTCGTTTGAGTGGAATATGGAATATATTTTCACGAACTATGATAAAATTCCAAATGAAAATCTGTGGCAATTTTTGAGTGAAAATATATACCATATTTCACGGAAAAAATAAAAAAATAACATTTTTATTTAATTTCATTATCAAAGAAAAATGGTTACGAACTGCCTTGCTTGCTATGCAACTGCAATTGTACAGCGCGAAGTAATATATTTATTATTTATAGATGCGTCTTGTTTTGCACGCGATATTCGGCGCTTCATTGTGACGTCACGTAAACAACTCTTCAAATATCTGTACAGCGTTAATTACTGAATTAAAGATATTGGTGTTCGGACTTATTTTCTTAGTTAAATCATAAAACCATCATTCTAGATAGTTTTCAAAACAAAATTCAACAAAAAGTTGTTTTGTATAAATCAGATTTTTCAAACAAAATGGCGAAAGGAGTCCCTTAAAATAAATATGAGTTTTGACTCCGCCCACTTTCATATTTATATTTCATATTAATCTTTAAAACATATGAAAAATATTTGACTTATATAGCACCATATTTCAGGGGTAAAATTAAATAATTCTGTTTAATTCAGAGTGATATCATTTGGATGTGTTAGTCATACATATTTTAAGAAGAAAGAAAACTTATTTGAGGATTGTTACAGACAATAAATAAGTGTTGACATATGTGTAAGCATTCAAAAAGCGGCTAGGAAATTGGAAACATGGAATTTTTGAAAGGGTACTTACGAACGCTGGGTTATTTACTTATTCTTCGAGCTGATGACTGCCATTGCTTTTCTATTTATAAGGCAGTTATTGCTCGTAGAATACTTAAATATGCCCAAATGTCATCAAGAGCCGTTTTGCACGTGGAAGGACTTGTATTTTTCAGATTGTAAACATGAAACAAAAATTAAGAGACGATATTTGGTGATTGGTAATTGGTATGAATTTTATTAAGTTTTCTTCTTTTTATAACTTTTGAAATTGCAGTTATTTATCAACTTCACCTTTGCTTTTCTCTAAACAGCCCTGACAATGTTAGAATGTACCGCATTGGGAATATCTTTAAAAAAAAGAAGTCTCGTCATTGAAAAGTGTGAAATAGTATTTTGATAATTTTCACTGTGAAATTATTAAATATATCTTTCACGGATAAATCAGTAATCCACTTAAAAGCATAAAATAAATGTATATAATTATGCTTCTTATCTATTTTCAAACTTCGAAAGATATGTAAAATATGTACTACATATTATATATAATCCTTAAAATATATGTATTTATTTCTGTTTGAAAAAGTTGACTTCATAGAAAAATGATTTTCTAATTACATTCCTCTATTTACATGAAGTGTTATATTCGGTAATATCTTTATAAATAATGTTTTTTTTAACTTAAAAAGTTGATAAATCTAAATTTGAGCATCATATTTATGATACAAATCATAAAAACTGTGTGACAGGATCTTTAAATTTGCCATAAATAAAATTAAATACAAAATAGAGACAAACTTTTATTTTCTTTATAAAACAATTGAATTTGATGCGCGCGCTGGAAGTGCAATAAAGTGTAAGAAAACAGAGAATTAAAAGATTCAACGCATCTTAAACTATTGATTATTTTTTTCGGATTCGACTCGGGGTCATAGTGATATCTGAAACAAGCTGTAAATGAGTTATATGATTCTGCTATCGAATAATATAGCAACACAAGAAACACCTTATTGGAAAGATCGGATAGGAGATATAATCGTACTATTGGCAACAAATCGCAGGCAGCAGTCTTTTTCTGATCTTAAAAGTTACTTCAGGAGAACAATCAGTAAGTCTTAGATTAAATGTTTTGTTACTAAAATGGTTGAAAAATATATGCCAATATGAGTAACAAAATCATTTAATCAAATAAAATTTATAAATCTTTGTCAAAAACTAGAGCGTGAATAAGGTAATAATACGACAACTCATAAATCCACTAATTCTAAATCAATGAATCAAAAAACTGCATTTTTGAGACAAAATGCACACTGCAACGGTATCTGGGTCATATTCGAGAACATCGCAGTAAATACAAAATTATTATTATGAAGTATTTATCTTGAAGTATCTACTTAAGGTTTATAGGAATGTAAATCAATTTAAATTCCTCAATTCTTATCAAGAGCGAAGAATGATAATTTACAAAGACATAAACCGACAAACTTAGAAGTTTACTCATGAATTGTGAAACAATTGTGTGTAATTTATTTGTATGAAAATACATTATACCATAAACTGGCAAATACGAGTACGAGTAATATTAAATTTTGATTATCTTATTATTTTCATTTTGACGGACCTGAAAGTTACAATGTAGTTTTTTTTATTCACGCTTTCGTGAAGTATAAGTAAATACGACAGCTCTGCTCGAATCATTTGCCAATGCGTAAATGAATTTCAGTGTTAATTTCTAAACAATATTCGGCGGTATAATTGTAAGAACTTTGTAATTCTGCTAAGACTGGTTCTGCTTTATCCATTTTTACAAATGAATGTAAAGATAAGTTAATTAAAAAGCTAAGTAATTCAATATATTTAGTCTCAAAAATATATGCACAGCATAATCCGAATTGTATATCATAACATTTGGCCATGACTTTGTATGGTTATCATGTTTTTGGAATAAGGACATTTTATGCAAAAGGCAATTCATATCTTTATCGAAATGAATATTACATGTAACATTTTACCTTATCTTTCAGAAATGGCAAATAAATGACAAAAAACTCAAGAGTTAAAAATTATATCAGACATTTATTACATAACTAGCTTCTATGACATGCATATTGTATTTAAATAAATAAAACAAAAGAGTAAAAGTTACAAATATCACAGATAATGCTATAATAAGTTACGATAATGCATTGATATTTTGAAAATGTAATACAATGTAATAAACATAATGTAACTACATGTCTATTAAAGAAATATTTTAGTGTACAATATAATAAAAAGTGCATTTGAGACCAAAATGTTTATTCATTTTAGAAAAATTAGTTATCTGTCACACATATCTACTGTAAAAAGCTCAAATAGATCAAAAGCTTATGCCTTTAATGCAATTAAATCACGTATCTTATCGTAAGATTAACTCATTTTAAACGATGTTATATATTTATGTATGCAAACAAAATTGTTCAAACTACGTGATTATCAGAGCATTGTACATGCATTTGACAATTTTACAATTCATTGTCTTTTTAAAATCCAATTTCAAATTAATGGACTATTTCAAATAATTTTAGCTTTAAATTTGTTAGAGCGGTAGCAATAAATTATGAAAAACATTTAAATGCTCTTTCAAAAAATAAGAGCATAATGAGAGTAATATAAGCGAGTTTTAAGTTTTAAGGTCACATACTATAAGATAACTATATATATCATATTTTATCATGTTTTTGTTTACGATTGCATGACATATACAATTTCCTTATCAAATGTAAATAAAATTCATAGTTCAAGATGATATAAGGCAATGTGTTAACACATTTCTCAAAATATCACATAATATTCATGGAAGCCTATTCATATAAACACTGTAAATTCACATATCCGTATGTGTATCTGCAAGTTCTAGCACATTTGCGCTGTCGTTTTTTGTTTGTTCCCATATTTTGATCCATTCAACAACAGTGAAGATTTAGTTGTTTATTTTATACAGCCTCTTTTCATGGTGAGTAATCATTCCATCACCTTAAAAACAAAGTGATTAAATTGTACAAAACTGCAAACAACAAGTTAAAAATGGCAAATTTTGGGATAATTGACACGAGATTCCAGTTTTGAATAGTAACAGTCTTTTAACCTGATGCTAGAAATATTACGATTACCATTAAAGTCTTTCTCTTATATACTTTTAGCTCTAGTTTATTTTTATTGCTTTGATATCTTTATAACTTACAATTAAACAGTCATTTAAAAACGAATACGATTGTCATATGTAACTTTTCCAATTTGATTTATTCAATGACTAATTACTTACCATCCACATCAAACAATTCTGAGACCCATTTATCTAGAAAGGAACCTCGGTGTTTGCATAGATCTTCTACAAATGTTGCTACAAACATCTCTGAAATATAAATATTTATACGTGAAGTCATTCATTTATATTGAAAGATTCGGGTATCATTCATCTTTTTATTTACCCTTATTCTTTCGTTATTGTAATAGAACATCAGAATTGAAAATTAACCTTTATTGATATAAAAATATTGATAAAAAATGAAATTCTCCTTAAGCAAATGTTCTTAATATGATTTCTTTGAGTTGCAAGTAGTTGATTTCGAAAAGGTATTGTTATCCACAAAGATTGACTGTAATATGAAATACGAGCATTATGTATTGACTACAATGGAAGTGAAATTAAAATTTTATATTTATTGTAATAATTTAATTCAACAAATCAGCATCTAGTTGTATATCAATTTAACATCTTATAGACTTGCATTGTTACTAATTGATCTTAAAGTCCAAAACTATAAGGTACTATAAATACTTCAGTCATGTCAGATACATACATGTATGTAGGTTGTTAAATTTTCAGTTAAACCTTTACAGAAACCTATCAGAACTATTTTTTATGTTGATTGAGAAAAACAATATGTATATCACTTACCTTTTATTTGACATAACTTTCCTTTCAATGCTTTATAGAAATATTGCTTATCTCTCTTATTTCTGCATAGGCCGTGTCTTGCAAAATGACGTAATGGACTGCAATTTAGAATACAGTACAAATTGTTAATGAAAAATTATATTTATTTGATAATCTAATGAAATAAATTATCTCAATTTAACGCATGAAAACTACAATTAAATCTTAAAATATTGGCTATTGCGAGGCATTACAAAAGGAAATTGTGAACTTACATAGTGTACATCTGATGATCAACTTTGTAATCGAAGGACGAATCTGCCGACTTTAATGTGATTGAGCCGTCATTTTTATCATTAAATAAATCCTCGTCCAGTCGATTGGCTACTGCTGCATTTACAATAGCAATACTTATTACCAGTAGAAAAGCAATTCTCACAATAGCCATGCTTCTTTGAAGTTTCATGTTTAAAGACGTATTGATCTATTGGATGCTTCAATTAACCTATATCTCAGATATATTGTTATTATATTGAAGTCGTCTCTGCCTGTATGATTAATGTTATAAAGTCGTAAATTGAAACAGATTTATTGCTGGATGAATCCCACTGATCTGTAAATTGTTAACTGCTGATAAACTGAAATAGAAAACAACTGATGATTTGCGAAACAATGGTCGATTGTTTTAAAAACAAAGGGAAACGTATTTTCTTTAGATAATAATAACAATAACAACAATGGAATGATCATGGAATAAATCATTGCAAAAAGAACAATTAATTTATTTTTTCATCCCAAAGATACATGAATTATTCATCTTATAATTACATTAAAAGTTTGTCAACGGATATCTATGAAATACAAAACAAAATCATTTTAATACTTATGATAGTCAAATTTGCTCTTTTTAAATAGTATTTATCTATTTCAATAAAACAAATATCTCTATTAATCTATCAGAACGTTTATTTGCTTAGATAAGCACACAAAAATAAAAAATAATTAATTTCATTCTTTAAGACTGATCTAAGTTATCAAATAAAGCTGGATACTCTTTGGCATTTTGTTTTTGTTTAAAGATACTATTATTTAATTTATGTATTTTCTTCCCTTTTCAACAATAAAAATCATTCAAAATATATTAGAATGTTTTAAATTAATACATTTATTATAGGTGTTCTTAGGTGCATAGAAGACTGATTGTAAAATATCGTATTTTTTATCACTTAATTTGTGTTAAGCGTTTTATTTATAAGTTGAACGTCTCAACAAAACATAAAAAAAATGTGTACATCAATTTTAATTATAAAATCATATCTTGCGAAAAAACACATTTATTTTTTTAAATGTTATCCTTAAAATAAAGTAAAATTATTGCACTTTTCTGTTCTTTCAAAGAGTATTATATTTTTCAATTCTATTTATTTTTTATATATTATTGTAAAGACAATTTTTAAGTTATAATTTTAATAACTAAATCACTCACTGTTTATGCTTGGTACCTTCTATCCGTAATAATTGTAATAACAACACAGTCTAGGAAATTATTGTCTACTGATGCAATCCCGCTTTCAGACTTCCTTCAATCTCCAATTACGTGAACTTAAATACTTGAGAATACCTACGGATAATTATGACGCGTGCTTATTGTTATATCTGCAACAATGATTTTTATTGGTAAATCAATTACGATTACTAATGAAACACATTTTGATACATCCAAAACCCAATGGGGTGTACGAACGTTATGACTAAACTAAACTACTTACCGGACACTTATTGCAATGTAACATGCCAACCACTAATCATAAATGACAATTGTTTAATCACGCTAAATGAATGTAATTTTATGTATTTTAACATGCTTGTCAGTGTCAAACCATACTCTAAGGTAATGCAAAAATATGATAACACTTTCTGAGAACAAACATTGTGTATGAATGAAACATGAAATGCACAAACCAGAAAACCCATTTTTTGTCGGATTGATATAGCTTAAAATTATTGATTCTTTAATATTACTGAATCGTCTCTTTTATCACTTGCTAGCGGCATGTCAAAAAAGATGTATGTAAATTTTAATGAAAACTTTATGAGAGAAAGTGTTGCTATTTGTTATTAATTTTATTACTTTATTTATTATTGTTGTTTTCGTAGTTTTTGTTTTTGTTTATTTTACGGTGTACCTACACAATTAAGTTCTTATGACCATTGGTCAAAACCACCTTACCCGCTTGAACTAAGAGATGCATGGATTCCCGTAATTCTAAACCTTTCTGTCCTCTCTTACGATCACGCAGGGATAAAAGGTGGTTGCAACTTTGATGCCACAACCTTCAGCCAGACGGTAGATGTTGCTATTTGTAAAACTAAAATGGTTTAAACTAGCCTAAGGCACCAACTATCGCAGGACCTATCACTTGTAATAATGTGAAACAACATATTTTAGTCCGACATTAACGAGGTATACTTTTGTGAGTGGTCAAACTAATCAATTATATCAAATATATCCAAAAGCACTCACAAGGATTATCTTGAATTATTTATTTTTTCATTATTATTTTGCTTTATTGTTTTTATTTTTTATTTTATATTATTTTATTTTGCTCATCTAGAAACATGCCTTGTCACATTTCAGAGTAAAATGCCCGGAATAAGAAAAAAAATAACAATTGATTTTGTTCATAAACTTTAGACATAAATGTTTCCTTTTGGAACACGTATAATGTGCATTTATTGTCAATAAAAGAGGCAATATACGAATAGTGTTATATTTTTCTGTACCATGTTAATACAGTCGTTCATATGTTCTTAACGCATTTTTTTCTTATTAAGTAGAACTTACAGTTCACTAAATGCATAAACACTTTATAAAACCATAATTACCTAGGGTTATCTTTACAATAGATTAGTCATAGTTCTATAAATATATATTGTTCCTCATAAATTCTGCAGGAGAGATGCAAGTAAAGTGGTATTTCGTTTTTGTATAATGTGTTTCATACATGTACGTTCTATTTAAAACGCGCTCCATTTGAGTATTTTAATTATTTGTTTTATATATAATATATGAAATATTTTTCATATACAATCGTGGTGGATACATGCTAACATCAGGTACCAACAGCAGAAAAAGTTATCAATCTTATACACTCAGTTCTGAAATGTTGTTGCAGTTTATGTGTAGCAACATTCGTGATTCTCAAAGCACTTCTCAATTGTTGCAACGGCAATCATAGTCGGCAATTATTACAGTCTGGGATAAATAGCAAGATACAAATATGAAAACAAAGATCAACACGGACAACAAGGAAAGGCTGGTATTCAATAAACGCATCCCAAACAAAATCCAGAAACACAGCACCACCAGCAATGAGCCCGTAAGGCCACCAAAGAAAAATACGAGAGCGCACAAAGACACAGCATTGACGGGGCGTTATCATAAATAATTCAATAATGAAAATCATAGAAACCGACGTGACGTTACTTTTACAATCATTGCTTCAATGTTTGTTTTATAAAACTGAATCACCTATCGATCCTATAAACATTCTGCTGCAATTTACAATTGAAACACATCGTATTTTTTCATCCGAAAATTATGTTTTCTGGATAATTTGTTTTGTATTTGATGTTAATTGAAATTTTACATCAGCACAGCGGGAATAGTGACAGATTGATTCTGAATCACTTGAAAACTCGAAGGTCCATGTCATGGGTTTATTACATGTTTATGTCTTGAAGGGATGAAATATCGGAAACTGAATCATTCAGATAAGCCGCTTTATTGGTATTGTGATATAAAAAATGCTTCTAGTGTATAAGGCAAAAAATATTGCATGTCGTCATTCCAAATCAAAGTAAGTGATATTTTCGCATTTTGTAATTAATCTGTTAAAATTGAAGATCTTTACACTAAAATAATTTTTCCATAGAAAATACGCGCATGAGTACAACCTCTAAATTCTATCTTTAAAATCATTTTTGTTTACACATTTTTTCATTCAGTGTAAAAGATGATATGTTCGGATACTAAAGCGAAACATCATATTTAATTAAGCATGAACTCATTTAATTAAATCAGGCATGTGGACAGAAGATATATCATAGGCTTTATAAATTTATTTACTTAAGTTTAATACTTTAAAACAAAAGCCATCGCTCAGCGGTGGAAACGCTAGACATGCCCTTATTAACATCTGAGGAAAAAAATCATTGTTAAAGACTTCTGCTGCAAAACAATTTTGTATTAACAAACAAAATTCAAATTTCACATTTTACCTTGATTGTCAATGTCAAAGTGACATTTAAATAAATCGGTGTGTTGGTTTTGCCGTAAATGGTTTTTTCTCAAAGATACAATCAAAAGAAGAAATTGTAGTGTTCAAGTGTGTAAAAGGGTTAACAATAAGCATGTACCTACAAGGAACTCACGAAGCAAGACAGAAGACGAACATTATGTCACACAACACTTGACACCTGCTGTTATGGTGTATACATATCTGGTAATAAAGATCCCTCTTAAGCATTAAAAACATTAAAGTTACGATGGTTTAAATAGGAAAAGCATTTGCGTAACCTTTTACTTGCTGACAGAATAATCATTTGCTTGAAATGTCATGTTACGCAAGAATAAATGTGAAGGTTAGCGTCATGTGCCGGTAGTGAAGATTACAAGCTTTTTAGGCGAATTTGTACCGAAAGCTAGATGTTAGTTAAACACTGTGGGCTCCAAGAAAAGTGCTTTTAAAGACATTTTTATATACGAAAAAAGAGACATTACCCCTAATTCATTATCTCCCTTCCATAAGTTGTCTTGGTTTTTATCAACGAAATATAACTGTGCTGTTTCCGAAATCGATTTCGTAATAGTTTTCGAATAGGTAATAGGTCTACAGAGTTCCCAGGTTGCGATTTGAAAACCAATAAAGCGAAGCGATCTAGGTTTAATTAAGAAGAAGGATCACTAAATAATCTGTTAACATATTCCGTGTGCGATAATTGTTTTATCTCTAAGTCGAACACGCTAACGTTTACATTAATCGGTCGAACCATTATGATATAATGGGTTGTTCATGTTCTTCAATTATTACGCTTTGCATTTTTATTGCTATATAGAGAATAATAAACGTGGATATAGACACGTACATCCCAGTAGCGTAGTGGTAAAAGAGTTTATATTATAAAGATCTCAGGTTATGAATATGTTTTTTCGAGTTCGAATCTCTAATTGTCCACATTTTTTTTAAGTATGCTTTTTACTTTCAGAATATTTTTAAATTGTGTCACGTAACTTTTCTTTATCTCTTTCATGATGTTTCGCACAATCTAAAGTTAAACTTTTGACGGCGAAGCAAAATCGAATGTATTTGATTTTTATAACTGTCATTGAACAAATTAAACAGTACTATCAATTTTATTCTGTTTTAAACTCTGAATTCCAGTCGCCACATTTTTAACAATTTTGGCTCATTTGTATTTACTGTATATATATTCTTCCATTGCTCATCTATTACCCTAATCACGACTGTGTTGTCTTATACTTAACCTGTTTAATGCGAATGTGTGTATAACTAAATGTTCTCAAATAGCATTGTTTGAATGATATTTTCGGGGATCCTAAATCCAGTTCGTTGTAAAAAATACAACCATAAAAAAATGCCCTTTTCAGGATTCGAACCTGGGTCTCTACACTCATAAAGCGAACACTCTACCACTACGCCATTATGCTTAACCCAATAAAATGAGTGATTGATTAGGTGGTGTAAGATTTAAGCGATAAATAGTACACTTTTATATAAGAATTATCGGCACCCCTATTTGTCAATATTTGTGTTTATTTCTTCTGATATCAGTTTTTATTTATCATATTGTTTGATTTTATTAACCTGTCAATTCCATACTGATTATACGGTCAATGCACAGAATATATTAATATTCGCTAAATGTTCGGTAAATTCCGTGAGATTTAAGCAGTAAGATATGATTAAATTCATCTGGTTTCTATGCATTAGTTGCACTGACCGTTATAGCGCAATAGGGTAAACTACGGGTATATAATTTCTAAATGTCCTACGTGGTGTAAGATCGAGACAGCGTATGTCCAGGTATTTTTTCTTATTCATAACTATTTTCAACATTTTTGAAGGTAAGGTTGTCTTTTCTGTTTTAATAGGTTTTGCACTTTTTTGTTAATACTATACTTTTGTATATATCATTGTTAAAGAATTAATATTTTAAATTCATTCGGATTAAGATCAATAAATGTCATTTCAGTGCCGTAAAATACAATACAAAACGTGACAATTCAGTGTTTCTTAGTTGTTTCATATCTGTGTAGAAAATTCTGAAAGCGCTTGACCTTTTTCATTATAATATACTTAAAAATAAAGAATAATATGTCTTAAAATAAGTGACGTATAAAGAAAGTCAAAAGAAGGGATCGAACCTCGGACCTCTCATACATAAGGTAATCACTTAACCGACTTTGCTATTGCGGATGTTACGAGAACCTACATTAAGCTAGTGGGAGTTTTTCAAAAATTAGCTATAATTATACTCCACTGGTCGGGGACCATCAACTGGACACTTTTGGAACATCTTTCCGTACAGATTTCATAATTTTTAACCTAGAGACCAAAAAATTTGACACAGTTCAGCTAGGTTCTTCTCCTAACTAACAAACTAGTTGGTTTATTTCTGATTATATTGACACTTTTATCTGAGGCTCGACAAGGAGGGTACCAAAATTACCTAAATTGTCTACACTACAGTACCATGTGTCCGGACAGATATGTACATGATGTGATTCAATTCAGATAAAAGCTTGGGTGTTTTGATTTTTTATTTGTAACATGATATACAATATGTCAGCAACAAATTCTGAAGTTTTGGATATTCTATTATTC